CTCAGCAGCCCTCGGGAGAGTCAGGCTCGTAGATACAAAGGAAGACCCAGAAACCACAGGGTTGGGAAGATGTTGGATGCCTCCTGTCAGAAGCTGCTCTTTGCAGGGGAACATGCTGAGCTGACTCTGACAGATAGCACAGCTGCTTCTCTTCCCCTGCAGGCAGCTGCTGCTTGCCCCCAAATCCAGGAAATGTTTTCTTCTGAGGCTGCTAAGTGGAAGAGATGCACGTTGGTGTTACCCAGAACGGGCTTTGTGTGGTGGAGATGTTCGGCTGAGCAAGGTTCCTTGGCATGTTCCTCCTGTCTGCAGCTGCTTCCACATCTCCCTGCATGCATTCCTGGGGTCTGAGAAATGGCTTGCAGGGTTCTGTTTCTAAAAGCACGTGAATTGAGAGGGGCTGTGGTGCAGGAATAACCTTTCATCCCACCTCCCAAAAGCCTGAGGAGGCGAGTTCGGTAGCACGCTCCATGGCACTGAATTGTTTGTTGCCTTGAGCTTGGGATTTCTTTGTGCTGCAGGCTGGCAGCAGCCTGCAGTCCTGGGGGTCAGCTGGAGGAAATGCCTCCTCCTGCTGCTATATCCAGCTCTTAGAGCTCTTCTGTGATGGTTGACAAGTAATGCTTTTCTTCTGAAAATGAACTGTGTTCTTTTTTTCCCGGTGGGTTTTACCAGTTGTTGTTTCTCACTAGTACTGCATGCTTGTCAGGCTTTATTTCTCAGAAGAGATAATGAATTTAAGTCTGTTTTCCTGTTCTGTGTTCCAGGGCACATGTCTGATGGATCTAATTAGGCTAATACAAAACTCTCCAGATTACCAAATATTGTTTCATTAAGGAAATGGTATTTGAAGTCTTATTTTTATTGGCTGAATTGTATTTGAAGACACAGTGGATTTGTGTTGAAGGAGAACACAAGGAGAATTCAGTATGACTAAAACCTTTTCTTGCTGTTCAAAAGCATCTGCCTAGCCTCTGAAAAGGAAAGTATTGCCAATCACCAAGAGCAGGATTTGTGTGCTTGTAATGTGACATACTATCCATAACTGTCCATAAGCTGTGTTTTCTGGAGGGGAAAAAAAAACATGCTTTATCAAATCACAAAATACATAATGTGAGGAAATTTTTTATATCTAATGGTGTTGTCTTACAGACTCTAGTTTTGAAATAGACATTTCTTACTTTTCTTACTTGGACATTTAAATGAATAGTCACAGTAATGTTAATTTACATTTGGCACTGGTATAGAACATCTGTGATTCTATACATTCTTAAGAGAACTCTTCTGGTTTTTGTTAGTTAAAGATTTTTATGTTGAAATGGTAAATTACATGTGATTAACAACAAAAGCTGAAATTACCTGAGAGTATAAAGTCTCTAACATAATGATGTGTCACTAACTGTGCAGTGACTGAAGATGTGGCAATTATTCTGCACTTTAAGGTCTGTCTGGGCTAAGGAAATTGGCATTAATAAGATGTTTCATGCTTAGAACCAATGCTGACAGTGATTCAGCTCTAACAGCAGATGGATAAAACAGGTTTTGATACCTTTAAGTTCTGAGAATTTTCCAGTTAGGATGCTAAAGTGTGCATGTGTTGTTTATTCCAGCAGTGAAACAATCCTCACCATGGCAGTTGGAGTTGAACAACAGCTGGTCATTGTCCTGGGGCTGATAAATGCTCATCTGAAGCTCCTGGGGTTTAATAGCATGAGAGGGAGACTTATAATCAGATATATTTCATCTGTCTCTAGTTATAAACACAGAAGAACTACTCATGTTCTAACTTAAATCAATCCTTAGAAATACCAGTCAGATGTATCCACTATAATTGGATATTCTGTGTAATAAACGAGCATTGATAAAAGTAATCAAAAGAACTCTTTGTAATGCTATGTAGAATATGATTTGAAATATAATTTTTGCCAAGTTAAAATAAAACATTTCCCAAGCTTAAAAAAATTCTGAACTGAGGTCCTTCATATAAGCAATGGAGCAGAGCTACATTTGTTTAAAGAATAGATTGTGTAAATGTTCATGCAACAAGAGACCAAAAAGATCAGCAAAGACTTTAAATAGTCTTTCATTTTTTGTCCACAGTGAAATGTTTCCAAGTTAAGATGAAAAAGAATACTAAAATAAGTTACTGTTCTTATGTGACTTGAAAACCATTATAGCCAGTGGGATTTGTTTAGGAATTTCAAAGAAAACATGTCTCCATTAATTAAAGTCTTCTTGCAGCTGTACCAAAATATAACTCATTGATTGTTTGTATCCATTTTCAGTTAGTTTTTTAAAGGAATTTTTAAGTAGCAGTCATATTTCCAAGAAGAGAGAGATTCTAGTCTGTATAATGGATTACAAGGCTGTGTTATTTAAGGTGTGCATTATCTGATAAATACTCCACCAAAATACAGTATGATGGTTACCTTTTGGGTTCTTGGCTGTGTGCAGTAAGTTTCTTTTTTGTGTAGAGTATAAAACTATGCCTATTGTGTGTACATGTGCACATGTGTTTATGAGGGAGGTATAAATGATGGCTAATTATGGTACATGGTTTCCTTCCTCTGGTTTTATGTGGCACTCTTTTGGTAGCAAACTATATCAGGGTGCTTATAATACATAAAGGTGCAGAGTTTTTAAATGTAGCTCACACCACACCTTAATTAATTGTCAATCTCTTGATGATCTTTACCAGATAGCCAGGTTGAACTGTCCTGTATATGCTCTAGTAATACTGTTTTGTGTTCCTTATGCTTAAAATTTCAAGTTTGGTCATAAGCTTCCTTGTCTGGATACACTTCCAAGTCAGATTTATATCATGTGTCAAGCACAATAAGGAACTTCGTGTGTCTGCAGTTTTTTATCAGCTTAGAAGGGCACTGCCAGAAATCTTGCTGCATCTTGCAAAAAGGGCTGTTGTGATGAGAGTGAGGTTAAAAAAAAATCCAGAGGATTGCAAATGTGAAATGCTTGATGGTTATGAAAGCAAGCCTAGAAAAGGGGTGCCTGGTATCGCCATGAGCCTGCATTAGGTTCACATTTAACACAGATGAGCTGTACTGCCATGACACCTTTGTTTCAGTCAGTGCAGAGGACACAGTTTGTGTTCCTGGCTTCTGCACAGGAATAAAACAGAAGGCAATTTTCTGCACAGCTGAATTGGGAAGAAAGTCTGCATCTGAACTTGATCTTGACAGGGCTTGCTTGAGGTGCTGGGGTCTGTGCTTGTTGATTCACCTGCCCTCCTCCCCACATTTACATAAACCAGCACAGGAGGAGTGCAGGAGCAGTACTGGTGTCACACAGCACACAAACACAGGTGCAGTGATGTGAAAAATATTAAAGCAGAAAATACTCCACACTGCTGTTAGTAGACAGTATAAGATGTGGCTGTAGGAGAGGACTGTAAGTCTGAATAGCTTTTCTTCTGGAAATGAAAAGTGCTGGTTTCACTTGCAGCATAAGGAGTTAATACAGGATAATTACCTCTTAAGTTAAATATTTCTGATATAAAGCAAGCAGTATGTACCAATATGTCAAATACCCTATAGAAAAGCCAGAATGGTGCACTAGGCAGCTCAGATTTTATAATAAAGTCACAGATGCTCCTATTAAGCTGGAGCCTTAATACAGCAGAGGGTTTACTCCTAGTGTTGATTGCCATTTCTTTTCTCAATCACATAACAGATGGCAGCTGATCTATTGTGAAAGCAAGGCAAGGCAGCTCATCCCTTGTAAAAAAACACTACAAACACCTCCATTTTTAGACCAGCACTGCCCAGTTTGCAGACAGGCAGTGTGGGGTGCACGGTGTGTGTGTCCAGCCCAAAGCCACACGATGTCACACCCCTGGCTGAAGGAATGAGGCTGTAGGTTCCCTGTGTCTGGAATGCAGCTGTAGCAGTACCACGGCAGGGAAGATTAAATCGAGGCAAATCCCAAGGACTGGCTGCACTTCACCTTGCTGTGCTCCATGTCAGCATGTGCTTGGAGATGTTGTGTTCATTTTGGAGAAGTTGCATCCATTTTGTGTGAAAATGAAGCAAAAGCATCTGCTTGAAATGACGATGGGGAAACTTAACCATGGTTTCCTCTTTCTACCGCCCATCCTTCCTTTCTGGCCATATATAGCAGCAGCTATTGCCACTGAGGCAATGCAAGTACAAGGCTGTGGGTTTATCAGTTTTGAAAAAATAGATGGAAAGACTGGATATCTATATAAAAAGTGGTTTTAAGGAATAATAATAAATAATTTCTGGTGCTGCACAGGAGTAAATTACCCCTTCCACTCTGTTGCAAAATACAGATAAAGCCTGACAAAGTCCAATGATGCTCTAAAAGAAGCTGCAGGTGCATTGTTAAGGCTTTTTGGACCTTATGGATAGAATAATACAGATGAAAAAAAGCAGTTGCATTTTGCATTTTGACTTTCCCTTGGAAGGCTCATGTTCTTGCTGCTGCAGGCCCTGCTTTGCTGGTGCAGCACTTACCAGTTTTGCTTCCTTGTTTGTGGTGTGGAGGTGGCAGATGAAACTGTGGATGTTGCAATGAGCTGGGCTGTCCCTTCACTTGCTCCAGCCCACAAGCCACCTGCTTTGTCCCAGCCTTCCTGCTTCCTGGCCCAGCAGAGCAGCAGTGCAGTGCCAGACCTGACACAGTGTTCGTAGCATTGTCCATTTGGGAATGCCCATGGCACAGTGGGGACAGGGCCAGGAGACAGGGAGAAGCCTCCTTGCTATCCCATACCAGTGCTGAATTCCCAGAGGTGCTCTCAGCCCATTGCTCGAGCCAACCCACTCCCCTCCAGCTGCTGGGGCAGGAATCTGGGATAAGTAGTAGACACTTGCAAATTGAGTTTTAATGAAAGGTGTCAGGTTATTTGCATAACCTGGTTTGTTTGTGCAAGCCCTTTAAGATCCAGTATCTGTCAAACCCTAAAGATGTGTCCTTTAAGTCCTCACTTAAGCATCCTTTTTACTCCCTTTATTTTCCTACAGTCAATTGCTTCAGCAGACATGGATTTGAATCAGCTGGAAGCTTTCCTCACTGCCCAAACCAAAAAACAAGGTGGCATCACATCAGATCAGGCTGCAGTCATTGCAAAATTTTGGAAGAACCACCGGACTCAAATCCACGAGAGCCTGATCAATCAGAGCCGCTGGGATAATGTCCTGAAAAACATGAACTGGAGAGTGGACCTGAAGTCACAGCTGAGGCACATTGATCAGATAAACACTCCTGTTGCAATAGTTGAAATGGAGCTGGGAAAAAATGGGCAGGTAAGCTTCCTTTTGCAAAATACACAGACCTGATGTAGCTACCCATGCACTGAGGTTATCACCTATTGCTGAATTCACTGCATCCCATTCAAGCCAGTTGGTTCATCACCACTGGCCCTTTAATGGACTTGAAATTGGGGTCCATCTTTGGATACAAAGAAACATTCTGGGTGGTGAATGCAATTTTTGCTTTTTTTTCATATCTTCATATAAAGAAGGTATGACATATATATTGACATATATATATGACATATATATTGACAGCTCTCTTTACATTAAGCTTGAAAAATCAGAGGATGTAGAAATCAAACATGATGTTATAATTCTGTTTATATACCGTGCACTGCAAATTCAATTAGTCTTCTTTTAATTCAACACTAAAATTAGTTAAAATATGCAAAGTAGAAGCTGAAAAAGAGTAAAGTTCACAAATTACATTTTAGAACAAGTGAAGGGAAAGACTCCTTTTTATTTTACATAACACCCATTCTTATGTTCCTTATTACCTGTCACATTATGCAATCTGGCCTTATCTACCTGAAAGATATCTATATATATATATAGCTCTATCAGTGCTGAACATTTCCTTCCTTTTTTTATCTTTATAGTCCCTAGGAATGTACAGCTGAAGTCACAGCTTCCCATCTTACATTTGCTGTTGTTTTCTAACAGGCAATGTGTTTCAGTTTGGTATCTTTTCTCTCTGTGATGTTTTAGTAAATTTCAAAACCTCATTTCTTAGCAGTGGCTACTGCAAATAATTCCATGAGCTGATTTAGGAATTCTGATGTTAATGGTTAACATTTAGCAAAGTTCCTTGTATTTCGTAGTATTGTAATAGCAAGAGTGCCTGAATTAGGAATACCTCAATCCATACACCTGGAATATACATGTGCATAGGAATGATTGAATTCCAGCTGTGTGGCTAAGCCAAGACCAGGATGGAGGTACATGTAATCTGAGGTCCTACAGAAAACAGAAGGTATGGCTGGAGTCATTCTGTTAGTTCACTTTTCTTTGCAGTCAGTGGAAGCTGATCCCCCTGAGCCTTCCACTCATGGCTCTCTGCAGTGACCAGTACAATAATGGTGTGTGTGTCTTCAGATTTTTTCCTAACCTCAGAGAAGTGGAGTTTTCTGCTCAGGATCTTGAGATTGAAAATGATTGTGTTCTATTAGCAGCAAATGGGAAAAAAGGTTGCTTTGAATAAAAAGGTTACAAGGGAGCACATTATAATGAGTACATTGAGTACATTAGTGAGCAAATGGGAGAAATACCTACATTCATTAAAAAATGCATCCTTAACTCAGAATCACTGCTGTGTTTCACAAGGGGATTATGTAGTTAGTGACTCCTGTTTTGAAACTGTTTTTTCCCCCAGTAATGGATTTTACAGTAACATCAAGCAGCAAGGACATTTATATTTCTTTCATCCTCTGCAGAGAGAGTCAGGGGATGGAGGAGGAATACACATTCCTGAGACATTGTAATGTCTCTTACCAAAGACCCCCAGAACAAAATCAAAATGAATTATGTTAGCAATGCCTCTTCATGCTGCAAAGGGAAATGGTTGTGTAAATGCATTTTTGGAATGCCATCAAACACAATTTTGCCTCCTTCCCTGAGGATACCAGTGAGCTGTGGCAAGTGTGACACTTGGTGTGAGTTAAACTGGTCCTTACTGAAACAACCATGGAGTAATTAGCATTGTCACCTCTTGAGTCAATGTACATTTATTCTAAGGAGCTTTGGTTTCACATAGCCTTTGGCTATGGATTAAATAAGTTCTCTGCTGTAAATCTTTGGGTTGAGGCACTCTGCATCAGGCTGTATGCTCCTGTGATGGGATGAGGGAAACCACAGGGCTTTGGGGACCTCCTGGAAAGACCTGTCACAGAGACTCCTACTGGAGCTTGAACAAGTTGCACACTGGATCCAGCCCACTAACTTGAAACTGTCATGTTTTGTAGTTATTTTTCTTTATTGTTAGCACATCTCTTCTAAATAGCAAGTTTTGTAGCACATCAAATACACATATACTGGTACCTTTCTTAAGATTAGCAGAGAACATGTTTTCTAAACAGTTGTCAGCCATAGATGGGATTTGATGAATTATGAAGATCTGGCTTTGAAGAAGAAAACTGGCTGATGATTCAGGAGTAAATTATTCACAACAGACTGTTTTCATTTGGACACATGATAACAGGGGAATATACAAATGCATTGATATGTAATGAATTGACATGAATATTTCATGGTTCAACAGAAGCAAAGAAATGCTCTGTAGAAAATGTACCTTTCCAGAAGTCACTTTGATTCTTCTCAGTGCCTCTGGGTTGGATTTAGGTCTCTGCCCAGCAGAAGGCCAGGCTGCTTGGGGGAGCATCTGCTCCTTCTGCTTCAATAAATAACTTAGCTTCCTGCTTGCCTTCTCTGAATTTTAGTCGCCTGTTTCATGAGGGGAAGACTCTGTGTGTGAAACCTGATGTGGTTGGGAATGGGGAATTAGTTGGAAGCGACTGGTTCATAAATGCCACTAGACTGAGTTTACATGAATTTTGCCAAATTTTGTAGTGTTTTCTGGCTGGAGAGAGATGCTTTTGGGTTTGAGAATCCATCACAACTTGCATGCATTAATTCTTGCTAGGCTTGCCATTACTGATAAGAGAAAAAAAATGAACCCTTTTCCCTAAGTGCTCTTGAAAACACTTCTAATGAGGAACATTTGAAAATACCATGCTCTGAACTTTGAAAAATATGATTCAAGATCTGTAAATTGGAGTTTGAACTCTACTTCAGTAAAGATTTTACAGCAACATCAAAAGTTTCCTTTATGCTGGTGTTGTAGTCTTTATAGATCCTAGCAGATCTATATAAAGATTAAAGGCAGATGAGCATGCTAGCCATCAGCTTTGAAAACCCATTTTCTTTAACAATATAACTAAAAATAAAATTATAAAGCAGTTGCACTTTAGCCTGCATTTGCCTTCATCATGTGGTATTTAGTGCTCATCACTACTGGTTCATTTTTTCCATTTGAACAGCCCATTTTTTCTTTGGCACAATGGTTTTGTCCTCTTGGGTTTTTTATCTACCTTGCTGGCTTTCTCTTAAAACATCTGTAGCTACCTGTCCCCTTCTTTACGTCCTTTTTAATCTTGCTCTCCCTCTCTGAGCATGTCTGTAAAGCTCTTTTGGCATGAAATTTCAAGCAGACATGAATCTGCTCAGAGGGATGGGAGAGTGAGCTGGAGCATCCTTCTCATGCCCTTCCTGCCCCTCTGCACCAGCACTGCTCCCCATGGTGGGCAGCACTGTTGTGCAATGTTGGCTTTCCTGCACATTTCAGTCCCAGATTTATACCTGACCTTGCCACTGACACAAAATTAATGCATTGCTTTTGCACTGTGGCTTGGCACTAAAATTATATTTAAACTTGTTTTCTGGACTTTGTCATGTTATTTTCCTTGTGAGATCTGCCTCTCCTCTGGGGCTGTGTTCTTCCTCATTGGCTCAGTTGCCAATAAATTTTACTTTCTTTATATAAATATATAGCATTATATATTTTGCAGTTTAATGTCTGAGACTGCTCAGATATTACAGATTAGCTGAGAATTTGTTTTTGACTTTTTTGCTTTAGCTTATTTACAGAATGAGTATTTCCACATACATTTCTTTTCAGTGTTTAAGATACCAGTAATCCATGTAATATCACTTCTCTTGAGGCTTTGTTGGATCTTAAAGCATGTTTTATGATCAAAGAGTATTTTTTGCCCTGGTTTAACATGAAGCTGGGATTCTCCTGCAGGATTCTTGCTGGAAAGACCTGAGATAATCACATCAGGATTATGGATTAAAGGGTTTTTTCCCCAAAATACTGTATCTCTCTTCTCTTCCCTTTTCTAAAATCCTCTACCTGACAGAGGGGTCCTAACAGTTAATGATATACAATAAATAAATACCACGATGTAGCAAATACTAGAGGCTACATACAAGGTTAGAAATTAGCATTGTTTCTTTCAAAGTTGAGGACAAACAGCAGCCTTTCATTCCATATACTTTCTCTGGTCTGAAAACACCAGGGATGTGTATCTTCACAAAAAACAAATGTTTTTCTTTAAAGAACAGGCAAGCATTAGTAACAGCCTTTTCAGTGAAAGTCTATATTCAATACTTATGATTATATTTTGATTGTCACTTTAAACTCTCTCCAGTGAGATAAAATACTTTCTGATGAATGTCACTTGCTAGGTGAAGTGCACATTTACCAGTGCAACAGCTTACTTGATGCTGAAGAAGTAGGAGCTCTCAGCTGGCAGTTGGCCGACTGTCTGCTGGTGGCTGGGTCTAGACCCTGGTAATTTAGAGGAAATAATACTACTAATAGTAATTCAGGTAATAATTGTATTAGTTCATGTGTGGAAAGAGTTCATAAGGAGTATAGACAATTGTCATGTGCTATATGTTGGAGATAAAATTCTACCAGTATTTTGAAGGTCTAGAGCTTGATACTTCAAGTTCTAGTTGCAATGGTTATAAAGGTTTAATTAATGTTTTGAGAAGGGGTAAAGTAGGTCTCAAAGTAAACTTCTAGGAGATTAATTTTTTTTTCTGACTTGTTAATTAAGTCCATGCTACACAAATCTAGGCTGAAATTTCTATCATCTGTGCTATAAACAAATTATATTTATTTTTAGCATTCACACATGAACATGCATTCACGATGTAAGAAAAGAATCTTAGCATTTATCTTCTGTAAAAACTCATTCCCTTACTGGGAATACATACTGAATGCTGCTGAGGATGTGGTGGTGTTTTGTGCATTCTTCTGAGCCATTTTTCTCTTGGCTTTTGTCAGCTACAGTTATCCCCAGCCTTAGCTGTCACTGCTGCAGGGAGGTCAGACCAAGAGAACATCAGGAGTACGCTCACGCCATAGGGAGGAAGGATTATGGCTGTGCCTGTTTTTGCCTCTGTGTGACTCCAGGTCAGGCTGCTTC